GGGGGGGGTTGGGCAGGGTGGCGGGGGGGTGGGTGCGGAAGAAGGTGGGGAAGCGCTGGCGGTTGGAGAGGGCGGGGGAGCTGGAGCCGTAGGAGAGCTGTAAGGGTGCGGGGGGGTGTTGTGTGTCAGCGCCCAACAGTCGTCCCCTCAACGCCGCTACAGCCATCCGTAACCCGTCGTCAACCGCCCGAGCGGACTGCGGGTGGCCGTACGGGTGCCGATGGTAGGAATCACAGCGGGTGTGGGTACAACCGCAGACCACCGGCAACAGCCCTGCGCGGAGCTGCAGCTGGATGTGCCGAAACACCAGCATGGGTCAAAACACCCGGACGCCCAGCAACAACCGTCTAGACACAGCGACAGATGTAGCAACAGCCACAGAGGGAGCAACAACCTGACAACCACACATGTGGTAACAACCACACACATGGCAACAACTTGAAAGCAACAGCCGCACAAGTAGCAATAACCTGAAAGCGACAACCACACGCGTAGCAACAGTCACACACATAGCAGCAATCTGAAAGCAACAGCTGCATGTGGAGCGACAACCACACAATTAGCAACAACCTGAAAGCGACAGCCCCACATGAAGCAACAACTGCACAGACAGCAACAACCACTTATGTAGCAACAACCACACATGTAGCAACAACCTGAAAGCAACAGTCACACATGTAGCAACAACCGCACAGGTGCCAACAACCAGACATGTCGCAACAACCTGACAGCAACAGTTGCACACGTAGCAACAACCGCACAGGCAGCAACACCCACACATGTAGCAACAACCTGAAAGCAACAGCCGGACATGTAGCAACAGTAGCCCACGCAGCGACAGCCATATTTGCCCATAGCCATGGCAGGACGCAGCTGCACCAGCAGCAACAGCCGCACCCCCAGCAACAACCGTAGCTACAGCCATGCACGCAGCGATGCCATGCATTCCCACCACCACCCCCCTTTCCACCCTTTTGCCGCACACCCTGCTGCCTCCAGGCCCGTCCCACCCCACAACAACCCCCTCCAACCACCACGTGGACACTGAGACACAACCCAACCCCAAGACCCCATCCTGGTACACCCCAACAGGCAACAGCTCTCCAAGCACAGCCGTGCCACCTCCATCCCCACCTCGGTCTCCAGCCAACCCAACGTGGCCCAGCGTGGTCAGGGCAGGAGGCGGGGGTGAAGGGGGGGTCCCCCAGCTCCTGTCCGTCCCCCCCCAGGAGCCCCATGTCCCTGGGGACACCCTTGGGGACATCCCTGGGGACACCCTTGGGGACAAGGAGGTGGTTCCTCACCACGATGAGGTTCCACATCCGGGCGGCCTCGGCCACCAGCGTGGAGACGCTGCTACAACCGGGCATGAGGATGATCTTGATGGGGTCGTTGTAGAGAAGCTCGTAGAGGTACTTGGTGGCCTGGCCGGGGTCGCACTGCGGGGTGGCGGGGGGGGGGACACAAAGGGGTTGGGGACAAGGAAGGGGGGCTGCTGGGACCACCTCCTCCCCGTATAACCCACTGCCTGCCCCCCCGTTCCC